GCACTACACGACTACGTTTGCGAAGAAGTTGCCGACAAAGAAGGAGGTACAGGCAGGTGGCAATTCATAGTAAGTCCCACACAAGCTCGTAGCACATCGTGGCATGGTGTATCTGAATTGCTGCAGTGGGCACAGGCTGCTTTGGAGTGGGCCGACCGCGAATTTCGACTTCACCCCGATGCGCAGAAGATCGACCGGGAGGCATTTGTTAGCACTGCTAGCATTAAGATAGAACACATGTCGTAGGAACCGTGTGAGAAATAAGAATTATGCTTTCAATTAACATCGCAGGCTTGGCTGGACACGGAAAGTGGGATTCAAAGAGCTTTCGCTTCTTGGGCTTGTGAAAGAGCTGGCCGAACTGGGGGTGTGAGGCGCTCTCCCTTCGTTGTTTTAGGTTCAATTGATCGTGAGCGCATGTTGCCAGGAGCAAAATTAACAAAGAGAAGATGCTCATGCTCAAGCGTGCCGTCAGAGAAGCACGTGCAGCCGCAAAGGAGATCAGTCAGTTCATATATTGCATACAACATAGGACCTTGGCGAATGTTAATTTGTTTTGTGTGCTGCAGGAGGAGGAGGATGCTGACACCCAGGCATGGAAGTTGTAACATCGCAAACTTGAATCGCAATTTTCTGCTGGCAGGAGAAAGATTTGGCAGAAGTGCCAGCTGATGTGGATGAGGCTAGTTTTTGATGTTCAATCTATTCTCGGTCTTCTGGCGAAGCGATTGAACCCAGCAGTTGTTGTGCTTTGGACTAGGCCCAGGAAGCCGAAGGAGGAGAAGAAGAGGAACAGGAGGAGGATGAATGTGTGGATGAGGAAGGCCAAGGCATTGAAAGCGAAGAGGATGCCGAGAAAGGTACCTTTCAGGACTGCGGTGCTGCTGCCGTTGTTGTGAAGGTCCAGTGTTTCCCTTCAGGACGAGAAGCCATTGACGGCTCATGTTCCGAAGCTCCCTAAGAAGATCGAAGAAGCAGCTGAAGCGCAGCTGCGAGACTCGACGAAGGACAGTGCGACGCTTGCCATCCAGGCCGTTCCTAGGGGTAGTCCTTTGATGGGTTTGGTGTTGTTCTTGTCGTTGTTGTTGCGGCTTTCAAGACCTTCGTTTCAATGCTCAGGCGCAAAACAAAGTTCGAGCAGCTATGCGACCGAGCAAAGATGATGATGATGATGATGCAGATAACGGGGACGGCCAGGAAGCCGGTAAGCGAGGCCGCGGCAGAGGGAGAGGCAAGGGGAAAGGCAGAGGCCGAGGCAGATCACAAAACGCTTCGGGAGGAGGTGCCATGAAGCGACCTGCAGCATCCACTTCGAGTGCAAGCAAGAAGCAAAAGCTAGCAGAAAAGGAGCAACCAAAGCAGCAGGACGAGGAGGAGGATGAGGAGGGAGGAAATAATGAAGGCACGCATGCAGCAGAACATGAGAAGGATGAAGCGGAGCCACCGAAGCAAGCTAAAGCTAGCAGCATTGATAAAAAGGCAGCAGCAAAGGTAGGGATGTCGGTGGAGGACAGAGCAATTTTGTTACGTGACCGCAAACTTGTTATCATGATGTGAGAAGCCTTTTTGCCTAAGAGTAAAAGGTGGGTGACATCTCTAGCGATGATGCTTGTAGCAACAATGTTTGCCAGGAGTTCATCAACGTGAGAACGAGTTTGGAGAAAATCGCCGAAAGTGATGCTCGCATGGCCCTGCAGCCGGACACATTTACAAAGCAAAAGCCGGAGCCTGAGCTGGTAATTCCTGGAATGAAGTTGGTGTTCGGATGCTGACAGGAGCTTCACTTTGCGGGAGAAGGGCATTCGTGCCAGCATTGGTGTTTTGCCGAGCACTTAGTGAGTGCCCGGGACAATGATTTCGAAGAGCCTTTCATGCGGAGGCTTCAGACACTTTTTTTCTAAGGTGGTCGAGAAGGTCGTTCTATGTTTATGGCGCTTCGAAGAAGAATGTCAAGTCCTTGAACAAATCCCTGGATCTCGAAGAGACTGCATTCGAGGTCTCTACCTCAAAGGCGCACTTGAGTATGCTACGTTGTTTGCTTGTCTCGGTTTCAGATATGAGATATGTATGGTTTACCTGTGCCCAGGTCAATAATCAGGGCGGTCTTCAGATTGGATGGTGCCATTTTGCATCCGTGAGCGATGCGCCCGATTCCTAGCATGCTCTTGAAGCTCCACTCCGGAAAGTGTTTGTGATTGTTTGTGTGCCCAGGTGGAAGTACGCCTTGCACGCGGCAGAATGGGAGGGATTGCTGGCTGCAGCTACACGTGCCCGCGAAGCGGGAATTCCAGACAGCCGTTGAAGTTTGCAGAGGCAGCAGAGTCAGCAGAGAAACCCTCGATTAATTTCAATGCAGTTGCTTGTTGGCTGATCACGGACCACCGTCCTATCTTGTGCTGGCAAGCATTGTGCACCAACAAACGCAAAAATACTGGTTCCTTGAAGATGGCTCTGAGCTTTGCAGTTTTGCAGTTTCATGAGCAACGGCAAGTGGTTCTATATAGAATCTGCTGGGGTCTGTTTCTGAAAATGGAGAAGCCATGGATGCTGAAAGACGTCGCCCTTCAAAGGCTCACCGTGGAAGCCTTGATGAAATGTGGGTTTCCTACCTTAATGTTTCTCGGCCCGAAAAACCAAACATGAAAGACGCATGTTTCCGTTTGTTTCAAGTGAACCGATCTGAATCAAAATAGGATGTTACCCTGTGTTAGGTTGCACTTTTTGGACTACATTGCCCAGCAAGCCGAAGAGCCAAACAATGTTCGCGCCCAGCTCTGAGTACTACGTGGGTCTGTGCGTGCATATGAGTGTGTGTGTGTGTCATACAAGTTCCGATTGGTGTTTGTTAAAGATAATAATTATTGCATTTGGCCAAGGACCTCTTCTGTTTCGATTTGTTCAGTGGCAAGCGGGCCATCGAATCGGGGTTCAGTATCTTGGTGGAATATCTTGATAAGTCACGTGTTGCTCAGCTGCATTTCGTGCTACCTTGTGTTGCTGCTGCTAGGTGCTCGTGGATTGAAGTCGTCCGGCCCTTGTCCGAATTTGCACCAGTTATGAACCGAACACGGCACCCACCACGCAGGGACTACTTTGACATCAAGTCCAGAGATAAGGACGACATGTTGACACTGAGCCTGCCTCAGCATTCGAATCTGCTCGCACGTTCGTTTGCACGAACATTTGAGTATGCTTGAGTTGTGCATCGGATCGCTGAGGACGGGATTCCTGAGGGCGACATTGAAGCTCCTCAGGATCAAAGATGGAGGTTTGCTGGCAGCAGGGCTGCCTTGCAGCTCGTGGGTTTTCCTCAACCAAGGGACGAGCGGCAGGACTCCAGAAAATATCTGGGGTACGCTTCGGCACAAGTATATCCGGCAAGCAAACAAGAGTCTTGATGTGCATTAGATATGTTGGATGTCTTGCGAGCAATGTATGGTTGCATCTGTTGCTTTTGCAAGACCCAGCAATGCTTGTGATGTGACCCAAGCCGAGGATAACCACCAGAACGATTTTGCTGTGCATGGTGGCGATGTTCCGGCAGGTACATTTCTTTATAGAGCAGCCTGCCGGGTCCCTGCTACCAAAAGTGCCTCACATGGTGTTTCTCATGAACTTCCTGTCCGATTTTGTGCCGATTCATTTGGTTCGATTGCCTGGGGCTGAGATGCAAAGAGCCGCTGTTGGATTCATAAGCAATCGTTCAACACTGTGCAAATGTCCTTTGCCTCTTCCACCGTGCGCCAAGTCATATGGGCTTGTATGGGCACTTCTGCCCCAAGTTGACGATGATAATGGGAACTCCGCAGTGGGCTTACGCATTCGATGTGTATCTCTGTCTCTTTGATGTGGGTCTGTGTGCATCGCTTGAGTACATGTACTCTGTGTACTGTACACAGCTGGTCTAAAACACTTGAACAGTATGTTTGTGCGCAAGCAAAGCTTTCAGGCCATGGTTGGGCAAGCTCTACCGGAAGCTCACCAAGGAGGAGAGGCGGAGGCTCAAGCTTTCCTCCGCCGGGGTGGTCAAGAGGAAGGTGAACCCCATCATCGGTTTCAAAAAAGTGTTCTGCACTTAGAAACCGATGTGCTGTTGCATTTATCTACAACACCAGTGCTGGAGCATTTTTTGTCCTTTGGTTTGGTTCCCAGGCAAGGCGGTCCTCGTTTGCGGCAGACCCAGATGTATCCGGCCGAATTCGGGCGGGTGGTGACAAAGCATCACATGAGCACGATGGTCTTGGTCTGAGTGCTTTGGATGTTGTCTGGGGTAGAAAGCAAGCCTTCTTTCTCTCGTTGGGCACAAGGTGACGAACCGACAAGAACTTCGTGCCGGGATGATGGAGATGTTGGTTGAGGCAGAGCGGGGGTGGCCACACGATGTTGCCAGAGTCCGGAATGCAGACTGTTTTGTTTCTCGATGCAGGCCAACCCCTGGGTTGATCAAGTTCCACGTTCCTGGGAGCATGCGGGCTTAGAGGACGTTCGTGACTTCCTCCAGCGGGAACTCACGGCTGGGAGGTTCGAGCCGACCTTTTCTTTCCCTTAGGGCTGTTGCTGCTGGCTCGCTTTGTCAAGCAATAGTGTTTCGATGGTATTGGTTCGTACGATAGATCGATCTTATGGAGATGCAGCAGCCTAACAGCAGCCGGAGTCGCAGCAACACCGAAGCTTTCGAGTGCGAAAAAGAAGTCGACCAGACCCAAATCAGCAAGCGCATGCTCGTGTGAAATCACCTACACAAACCGACTCCGTGAGAACAGCGTGAAACCAGCGTGAAAACCCCGTGATATGTAGACGAAAAACCGTGATATGCAGGCGAAACACCGTGAGAATTTATCAGTGTAATCCCGCCAAAAAAACCCTATGTGTTCAGTTGCAGTTCCATGGGTCACCGCCGTGCGATGTGAATCCTCTGTGACGATGATTGATGGCTCCAGTTCTACTTGTCGAGAGACCTACGTTGCTTGGGTGTTCCCTTGCGACTGAGTCGGTCAGCGATGGTGGTGGATATCAGCTATGTGCTGCTGAGAGCTCAAGACAGAAAGCGGAGAGCCCAAGCAGCCGGAGATACCACGAGCGTGGCCGAAGGGACAAGTGGGTGGGAACCTTTTTGTGCATTGCTGTCGTGCTTCGTACACTCGTACACATCATCCAGTCGGCTTGCAAGTGTATCTGTGTGATTGCATGAATGTAATACAGAGATAAACCCAGGTCTCCAAAGGAGCCAAAGAAAGCTCGGACCAGCCCGCCACCGTCTTCCAAAGATGCCTCAAAGGACTCCAAGCCAAAAGCCAAGAGCCCCGCTGGGACAACAAGTAGCTCGGGCAAAAAAACAAAACACAACGACAGCAGCACGCCAACTGGAACAGGCAAGACAGCATGGCAAGCCAGCAAGACAAAGCCCGTCAATCGCAGCCTTTCCTTTGCAGATTCCTTGGTTGAGACCCCACCCCACCGAATCAATCCGAAGGCTTCAGCTGAGGACCTCAGTGGGGAGAAGCCGAGTGCACCGTCTGTGCTCAAGCGGGCGCAGACTGTTGATGGCACGGGTACAAGTGTTCGGAAAGCTGAAGCTCTGCGGAGGCAGAAAGAGCTCGAAGAAGAGTTAGAAGAAGAGCGGTTGCGACAGGCAGGAGAGGCCCAAGAATTGAAAGACAAGGAGCCTGAGTGTGCCACGGACCTGGATGTTAGTTTGAAGAAGACCAAAGGAAAGTCCCCGAAAGCTAAGGCAAAGCCTAAAGCAGCATCGAAAGCCGCTGCCAAGGCCGCAACAAAAGCAGCAGCAAAAACTAAACCAAAAGCCAAAGCAAAAAGCAAAGCAACAGCCGCTGATCAGCATGACTCAGCAAGCGAGGCCGACAGCACTACCAGGAAGAACCATGCCACAGCCCGCAGCTCTAAGGACGCAGCTCCTCCGCAGAGCCCCGATCGAAGCGCCAAGCAGAGCCCGAAGAAGACCCCCAGCCCGAAGAAGCCCAGTACGGAAACAGCCGAAAGCCCGCAAGACCCCGTGGACCCCGCGAAAGCCGAGCTGATGAAAAGCAAGAAGAAGGTTGCACACAAGCTTTACATGAGGTTCTGGAGGTCGATTCAAAGCTGCTGCCTGAGACACGAATAACGACACAACTTGTGTGTTTGTGCATGTGCTCGAAATTATGACTAATATGTTTGTCAATATACAAACATACGAAGGCCGAGAGACCCCAAGGGAGATCAAGAATGCATTCGACAGGTTCAAGTACTGCTTTGGACTCAGCATATTATGTGCATCATGCGGTTCATGCTGTTCTTCCTAGTTTGTGTGCCTTTGACATGAGTTGTAGCCCTCGCTGGCCTAGGCAAAACTTCCATGAGCACGCTGTACGAGGACTTCGTGGCAACCGGAGGAAAGTGGAAGAATGGTGTCATCATGAAAACGATACGGTCCAAGAAAAGCAGCGGTGCACGTGCATGCAGAAAGTGGTTGACCCGCAAGCAGATGCTGCAGTACTTTGACAACGACAAAGACCTGGTGGAGAAGATTATTGTCCGCAAAGAGAGCGACCCGGAGCTTCTCAAGGCTGAGTGCCGCGATCACCCGGAATGCCCAGGCTGGAACGAATAGCATGCAATGTGTTTTTTGCAATCATTCTAGGATGCTGTGTTTCCTTGCCTACATGCCGAGAAGGTTTGAGGCAATACCTGGTCCTCGTGGAGGACGAAGAGATGGCGGCCGAGTCTGTCGAAATCGAAGATTTGTTCCAAGCGGAAGACGACTCCGCTTCCAGCTCGGATGAAAGCTCAGAGTCGGATGACTCGTCGTCGTCCGAGGACGGAAACTTGTTTATGATATAGTGTCGCAACTCAAGTAGCCTTCAGTTGGAAACCGTGTAGGACTCCGGAAAGAAGAAGAAGTCGAAGAGGAACAGCAAGAAGTCCAGCAAGGACAAGAAATCCAAAAAGAACAAGAAGGACAAGCGAAAAAGCAAAAAGAAGGCCAAGGGCAAGAGGAAGGGAAAAGGGAAGAACAAGGGCGAAGATGACGAAGAGAAGGAGGCAGCACGAAAGATCGGATTGGAAGCTAAGAAGGTTGGGATTTCGTCTCGAATCGATGCAGTTGCTGTGTTGCATGTCAGCTATGAAACTTTTTCAAACAAGCCCAGGTGCTGAACTTGCTGAGCAGCAAGATCAAAGCTTTGAACCGCCGGAAGGATTCTGAGGATCTGCTGAAGCTGTCCTGCCCTGAGACCGCCGTGTTGATTGATTTGAAAGTTGGTGATGCTGGATATTATATTTGTTCACTCGTTGCGAAAGTTACTGCAGGAGTGACAACCTCAAGGAGGCCCTGACAAAGGACTTAGAGCAGTCGGCCAAGAAGCTGATGAATGCCCGGACAAAGTTGCAGCAAGCAGTGGATGCCGATAAGGACATGTATCGATTGCTACGTTTCATGGCAGAAGTTTACATTCTTCGTTTTGGTGGTTCCTACATGTTCATTGCAGGAGGACATGATTTCGGAGAAGACGCTCCACGCCAAGACCGCCTTGGATGAAGCTGAGCACACGCTTCATTTGAAGAAGCCTAAGGGCCCTAAGGATGACAAGAGCGCGAGCAAGTGAGACAAGTAGATGGGATCATGCAGCTGGACCTTTGGATCTGATTGAAGCTCCTGAAATCTAGAACAGAAAGATGTAAAGTTCTGGGTTCATATTCAATGGTTCCTTTTGGGATGACTGCAGATCCGGTTCACGCATGCAGGGGTTATGAGGGTGTTCAACAAAAGGTTGTAACACCGCAGAGTGCTCGAGTGTCTGCTCTCGATGCGAGGAACCTGCTGGGTAGCACATTAGGTGCACCGCACAGACGAGGGGGGAACTCGTTCGTGCACTAGTCGCTCTTGGTGTGAGCTGGCGGGCTGCCTGATGCGCAAAATGTCAGTGAGTCTGCTGCTTGGTGCAAGATGCCGCTAAGTCTTGGAAACAATAAAATAATTTGGTGACCAAGTGCATGCAAGAACCCGTTGTCGCAGGTGCAAATGAGATACAGCATTCTGAACTGTTTGATGAAATGATTGACAATGTGGCTGCAGCTGTTGCTTGTCTGCAAAGTAATTACAAGTCAGTTTCCGAGTATTCCAATTCCGTTTGATTAAAGTCCTTCTCGTGAACCCATGTTAACAATCAGGCCTCAACGATCGGAAAAGAGATGCGAACTGCCAAAGGGGCCCTCCAAGCGCCTTGGATGCTTCAGTGCATGAGTTCGTGGCAGATGATGTCGGATTTGTGCCAGTGTCAATCAACACCTGGGTTTCAATACTCAATCTGAGGATGGTAGAGATTCGGTGCCGGCTTCGATTCGGAAGCTTGGTTCCTACAGTGGCCAAAACAATGCCCGAGACTTTGCAACCGCCGTGCGACTCCCTGTGGTCGGTGTTGCGAAAGAGTGAGGTAGGAAACCAGCTGTAGTTGTCACTTCGGGATATTACGGGTCATTCCGGTATGATTTCAATTGGTCCTTGATTCGATTTGTCTGAAGCGCCCTGGCAGACTCCTGTGATGGTTGAAACCGTCATCAAAAAGAAGGAAGATTCCTTGGACGAGGTGACTGTGTCTATTCCTGTGCTACTGCCTCATTTGATTTTGACTTACATTTTCAATACTGTGGGTGTGCATATCAAACCTGATGTTCTGAAGCGCTACTGGGCCCACTGCAAGAGAGTCTATGAATGGGCTGCCCCAGATGAGTTGGATGGATCGCACATCCCTTTGAGTATTTACGGGGACTCTGCGAGATACGGGCAGGGATACGACCAGAGCAAGGTGACGGGATGTTGGATGGGCTTAGTGCTGTGGAGACCCAAGAGCACAAGAATGAGCCAATGGCTGCTGTGGACTTTGAAGGCTGATTTGAGCCTGGGACCCAAATCCCACAATCCTCTTTATCTTGCTGTGGTTCAATCATTGAACTATGCTTTCAATGGTATCTCCCCGGAGGGGAGGCAATTGCCACACAAGTTCCTTGTCACGGAAATAAAGGGTGATTGGGAGTACATGCAACAAACCTTCAGTTTAACCCGCTGGTGGAAATGTCGGTTTATTTGCTGGCGATGCTTGGCAGAGAACCACGAGAATGCAGAGCATTCCTATTTGGATTTATCAGACGACCCTTCCTGGTCAACCACTGAGTTGTCGCATAATGAGTTTATGCTGGATGTTGTCGGCACTGAACGGATATGCTGCTTGGTAAAACATGGAGGCGAATAAGGTAGAGCTAGTATCATCGTTTCTTGCTCTTGGTTTAGGCCCACTCGTTGGCCTGAAGCTGTTCCACATGACGATGCTGTGCCACTGCTCCCTTCACAACGTGAATTTGGGCATCTGCCAGGATGCTACGGGTTCTACGCTGTTGCTTGTTAGCACAATCGTGCTGTTCAGTTCCGATTTCGTTTGATGTTTATTTAGAAACAACCCGACGAGCAAAGGATGTACTTGATCGGAAACGGCTATTTCGGATGCTACGAGACCACGACCCTACACAAGCTGCTTGTGGTGGCATTCAAGGATTTCAAAAGCTTCCAACGGTCTACTGGCATTCGCTGCTCGCAGACGAAATTCGTTCCGAATTTTGAACCTTGTCCAAAGTATGACCCCAGACGGTTGATTGATTTGTAGAGGCATGTAATTTGCGGTGTTGTTTGGCCAAGGTATGGAAGGAAAAGAAGGGGGCCATCATGGCCCATAAAGGGTACAACGGAAGAGTGATAGCATTCTGGCTGGCAGACTGCATGCAACGAGCTGTCAACCGGACGGTTGTGGAGGATCGACACTTCGGGCAGTGGTTGCAGCAAGCTGGAAATTGGCCTCCGGAAGACGATTTGCTGGCACCGACCGCTGTGGCCATGCGCCTTCTCTGAATTGAAACGTAAGCAGTTCAGTTTCGAGTGGAACACACATGTGTTCAGAACCTGTGCAGGCAATCATTGTGCGAATGGTTCCATCAAGTTGAAAGCCATGGCAGGTACCTGCTGCTTGGCTTCTTAAAAGCCCTCAATGCACTTTGTTCCGGGTATGTGTGAAGTTTGGGTCGCGACAGCTCAGGAGTGAGCAAGGCGCCAAGAAAATCTACGATGCGGGAATGAGATATATCCGCTATCATGTTTTGTTATGCAAACTTTCGATGAGGAGTGATGTGAGTTGTGTCTGAGGAAACTTATTGTAGTTTCGAGTCTGACACGAGAGGAGAATGAAGCTCGCATGGCAAGTGCGACCAAAGATCCACGAGCCTCGTCTAAATCTGTTGGGCATATTCTAGCTAAGTCTTGTTGTCTGAAAGTTCAAGCTTGGTCACCAAGAAATTTCATCACCAACTCCGAGATTGCAAACGGCGAAGCAACTGGCTGCAAAAAGCTGTTTGGTAGCACTTAGTTTGTTCGTGTTTGGTTTTCGGTGCCATCCTAGGACTCAACACTCGCTTCTTCCACACGTTCAGAGAGGAAGATGCAATGAAATGGTTGAAACGTTTCTCGTCTCGAATAAAGTCCGTCTGGGTGAGGTCTGTTTCGCCGCGCCCGTGCGCATATGAAGACTCAGGTGCAGCGATGAAAGCCGACAGCCGGCATTTCGAGCGGAGTATCATCAACTTGGCTCGCTACCGATTAGTTTCGATGAATCGTTTAAAGCGAGTGCAGATGCTCAACCGAAGCGCGTTCGCCCGGGAAAACAAACGACGAGGAGGTTTGTGTGTCGTGCCGAGTGCTTGAGCTTTGATCTTCATGCCCAGTGAAACACCTACGTTAAGTTTAGTAGTAACGAATCCAAGAAGTAAGCGTTAAACCGCAACGTTCGACAAGTAGGGTAAAGGTACCTAATTCCTTAGAATTTAGGGTTAGCGTTGTGCTTACCTTTAGTCTCCATTGTAGTTTCTTGTTGGTGTAACCAATTATATACCAACTTTCTAATTGGGACCCTATAAGCTAAGGTAAGCCAAAAGAGAACTAAGATGGAGACTACAGTAACCCAGGCACTGAGTTGTTGGATCCTCAAGCTCTGGCCAGCGTATCATAGCCACACTCTGCAAGCGTGGGGCCTAAACCCTATCTTAAGCCAAATGACCTACCCTGTTTTATGTTTAAGACCTACATGAGGAACTCATGATAGGAAGCCTTTAGAAGGTAAGCGCTTATAAGCCCTAAACCCGAAACCTTGTTTCTCAAACCTAACCTGTAAACCAAAAGACCCTAAGGCCGTAAGCCCTTATATACAAGGCCTAAACCTGAAACCCTGAACTCTAAGCCCTAAAACCCTATAAGCTCTTGTAAGCCCTAAACCCTAAACCATGAACTCTAAACCCTAAAACCCCAAGCTCTTGTAAGCAAACCCTAAACCACAAACTCTCAACCCTAAACCTGAAACCCTGAACTCTATAAGCCCTAGAAACCATAGAACCTCTACGACCCGAGCCCGAACCCACGTGTTGCAGGATGCGGCTGAACACTTCGGACTTCCGACTTCGGAGGAAAGGCCTTCCTTAGGGCCCCTAAAAGGATATCCCTATAAAACCCCTTATGATGAAGCCCAATAAGGTAGGGATATCCCCATATAATGCTTATGCTTATGTGCTTTTTGGGTCCCTACTTCCTGAACTTTCTGCCCAAAGGCTTCGGGGATATAAAGACTTTACAGAACCTCAGAGACTCTTAGAGGGTTGAGCCTAGGGCCTAGAGACAGAGAGAGGGAGAGAGAGAGAGAGAGAGAGACATAGAGAGAGGGAGAGAGAGAGAGACATAGAGAGAGAGAGAGAGAGAGAGAGAGAGATAGAGAGAGAGAGCAAGCGGGAGGGCGTTGCCGCTGCGCCTCCCATAGGTAAATTAGGCCAAAGGGCCAGATTCCTAAACCCTAACCATCACACCCGCTCTTCCCGCAGAACAAACGCAAAGAACACTTTGATGGAGGCCACGGTGCATCAGGAAAATCGGCGAGCCGGGCACCTGGTTTGGGTTTACAGGGTTTTGGGTTTTTGGGGTTTAGGATTTACGATTGGAAGCCCTCAGCGCGAAACCCTGAGCCTAAGCCCTAAACCGCTACTGTCTCGGAACGTGGATCCAGTTCCATCAGACGTAGACAGGCCTGGGTCTGGGGAATGTAGGTTTGTGGTTTGGGTTTGTAGCTAAG